TTTTCATTTCGGGTAGTAGCTGCGTGGAATGACCTTCCTCCGACGGTTGTACACGCTCCTTCTCGAACCCAATTTAAAGCACTATTAGTCATTTATTTATGCGAATCCTCGCGCTGGCGAGCATACTGCTCCGCGCTGAGAACATAAAGAGCATTGCTACATCCTTTTTTCACCTGTGCCTTTCAGGTGAACGACAGCCACTGGCCGACAAGAACAAAAGTGACCCGAGAAACTTGGGCAATAGTCTCTATCCTGTGTATCAATCCGTGTATCCGTGATTCCATGCCGACTAAAGTAAAGGGAACACGAGATTAGAGGTCATTTTGAAATTGTCCACGTAATTACCGCGCGGCTGCTCCCTCACCAAATTCCATGAGAATGAATGCCTGTGTATCAATCCGTGTATCCGTGATTCCATGCCGACTGAACTAAAGGGAACACGAGATTAGAGGTCATTTTGAAATTGTCCACGTAATTACCGCGCGGCTGCTCCCTCACCAAATTCCATGCGGATAGAATGAATGTATTTAGGTTAGCCGGTGACTTGTCGCATCTGCTAGCTATCTTCATCCTTCTATTGAAAATTTACTCATCTAGATCATGTAGAGGTCGGTTTGCTCAATGTTTCAATCCGCATACTTTTCTCAGGCTTATCAGGGAAGACACAACTGATGTTCGCACTGGTCTTCACGACGAGATATCTGGACCTCTTCGTTTACGTCGTCTCAGTATATAATACGATTATGAAGATCGTGTTTATCTTGTCATCTTACTTGACCGTGTACTTCATGTATTCCAAATTCAAACAGACTTTGGAGACAACGGATAGTCTATTCAGATTGCCTTATTTCATCGTCCCTATCGGCGGACTTGCAGTTCTCGTTAACCACAATGCAACACCCCTGGAGGTTTGTAACTATACCTGTTATTTAAGTTATTCTTCCTTAGTAGTACCCTAAGCGATTTGATTAACATCTTCGCACATACCGTTTAGACCGATACCTACCGAAAATGACATGGTAACTACACCGCAAAGGTGTTACGGCTGAACGAATATTTATGTGGTTTTATCTGTGATTAGATTGAATTGGTCAGTCACGACAGAGGACCCTGGTCAAAGAAAATTATAGTTGATGGAGCTTCAGTGCAGGACAGTCGAGAACAGAAAGCAAAAACAGTACCCGCGTTGCGTCTGTGTGGGTGGAGCGTGTCGAAAGAAACCAAGAGCAGGCGAACGTCTGAGTACCTACTCAGATTAAACAAATAAGTGTAAACTTGTGACTTGAAGCACACTGAAGAAATTGTCATGTTTAAATAGACAAGTATTCAGATGGAACGATAAGGGGGCATCATTATCAACTGTGAACATCACCTGCTTGTCGTACAGTGGTTGCAGCTGCCACAATTTCGTCCATCGATTTGGGAAATGAAGACAGTAGCTGCGCATTGGAGGCGGGAGCTGATAAGTTGGTGCGTAAATACAGGTCTGTCAGTGGACGTCTAAGTGGGGGGATTGGGAAAGGAGCTATGCATACGTCGAAGAACCGTCTCCGAATATGAGGTGTGTTGATTGTTCTTTGTGGTTGTACCGTTTGCAAGTCCTAATGGATGTAGGCCCTTGGCATCCCTCCGCAGCCAAGACTATCAGCCTATTAAGTCACTGGCTCCGGTGAAGGCCTATCATGAAAACCCTAACAACCACTGCCTGATGGTTCAAAGTTTTGAGTACAGGCTAGGGGCACAGGGTTCCCAAACAAAGCCTTACGTCCTCGCACTACCTTGTGGTTCAGACTTTTCAATCAAAAGCTCAAGATGGGGTACATCGACGAAATTCCCTCCAATCTGGTCAACGGAAAGCACCATTCGCCCCTGCAGCTCTCCGCTAATCGGCCCTACTCCATATCTCGTTTCCACCCACTTGACAGTCTCCTAGCCATTGTTCCATGCCTAAACTAATCCACAGAATGACAGATTAATATAATCATTTGCCTCTCCGACTTAAAGCCGTCACCTTGACGTAGTGGTCGGGCTTGAGTGCAGCCATGGTCCAGCGGGCTACACTGGCTGGAACTTCGCTCCACAAGGTGCCTCCATGCCAACAAGGCCAGTCGACCGACTTTCTCAAAGTTTTCGCACAACCACGGGGAGTGTGGAAACTAGCCAGGGGAAGCTAAACATAAGCGAACATTAAAGACGGCTGAGTAGACAGTCTTTCGGGGTTTGGAAACAGACTTCGAAGTGTTTAGGATTGTGACTGAACTTGGACGTACAGAAGCTGCAGCTGGGTGTAATGCAAAACGAGCAAAACGCTCAGTTCTGGTGCGGGGGAGGCGTGGGGTGGAAAACGGAGGACGTGAAAGTGTAAGAAGGGAGGCGCCAGCGGTAGCATGTTTCCGCTTATTCGCCCTGCTGTATGCAGCAAGTAAGGTGACGTGGCTGATGGGACCACGCGACGGCCGATGTGGCACGAGTGTTGCTAGCTGGATATCCTAGATAGATATGGTAGAGACCAGCAAGTCTTATTGTTAACAGAAAAGCTATGTCAACAACAATCGGCCATGACGTCGCAAGCAGATCCCTCAAACGCCGGATAATCAAGAACATGAAGAATGACAGAATGCTGGTGGATTTCGAAGGCGTGCCAAAAGAAGACAAGTATCAGCAAAACGATATGCGAGGAAGACGGAACGGCAATCCACGCACATAATCTTTGGAAAAACCCAGCGGCCCGATTGGGAAAGGAACGCCAGCTCGCCGTCAGGAACAACATCATCACCAGTAGCATAACACCAGCGTCCAACGCCAATGCTTTACCACCGTCAGCAGCATAAATTCAGATATCGCTTCAACGGAAGATTTCGGACGAAAACGATACCAGTGGAAAGGGGCGCCTCGACCATCGTCCAAGTCTTCGAAAAGGACGCAAGGACGCCATGCGAAGACCACCATGTTTTCAACATGGTATCCGACGCATCTGAGGTGCTCTCTGAACATTAATTCACACGGGTTGATCGATTATCGAGAGGGAGATTCATGAGAATGGAGCTGGGTTCTGCTGTGTCGAGGACGCGTCGATCATATTCTTTACCATGAGATAAGTTTTGGAACATCACCGCTCTTTCGAACGTCCAACATCCGTTCTTCTAGATCTGAAAGCTGCCTTTAACTTTGTCTATCTTCAGAAAATTGGGCTTTCTTCGGACCTTACTGTGGTGTGACGGGTTTTGTGCCCCTGTGACCCATTGGGCTATACTGGGTGGTGTCTTTGCGACATTCACAGTCTCTCATACCAGGATAGTCAACGGTTAGAGGTGTGGCTAACACAGTCTCCAGACCCTCTATGAAAACGTTCTCATGCGCTTGCATTTCCCGCCAAACATCGCTGCCTTGCGGTCGTGTCCTTGGGCCAAAGGCCTTGGTCGAGGACTCGGTTCGTCTTCTTGTCCAGGAATGGGTGCCCTGGTAGTATTCCACCTCGCGTGCAACCATGACAGTTGCAGCTAACAATACTCCCATGCCACCTCGGTCGTCTCATGGTGCCACTGGTCGGGTCCCATTACTTGCCGCATACAGCAGGGTGGGTAAGCGAAAACAGGTTACTGCTGATGTCTCTCTACTCTCTCGTCTCCGCAGGTCCCAGCCAGTGTATGACCCGGCAACGAAGTGTGAAATCCCTAAACGTTAAATTTAGTCGGGTTACCAACTACGGCGCCCCTGAAGGGGCGCCCCGGAACCCAACTCACCAGTGTTTATTGACACTGGCAGAAATAGCACGATCGCGTAGTTAGTGGAACTCGTGTATCAAGGTTATCGCCTTTAATGCGTAGCTACCCAGTTCCCGAACCAAAGAAACATGCCATTGCCTCGAATACCGCCACTTCTAGAGACATTGGAAGAAATGGCGGCTGATCGATGTCCGTACCGTTGTCACTTTCATTCCAGACTGCCTGATTGAGTACTTGGAGGTTTAAGAACCTCGGAATGCTTAACATGGGTCAGCACTAGTTCCCATCCCTCATCCACTCTTTTTCTGTTCTTTCCACTCTAAGGCTTTAAATATAACTAGATGAGCTTTGTGGTTGTACGGTAGTGGAACATCAGTGTTAACAGTGATGTTTCTCTCTCTGATGACAATGGTGATGCTTATCTGTACCTACGATGCTGTGCCACTTTCCGGTGGCCGAAACTGAAACCAATATACCCATGGTACGTATTTTCTAGCTGATAAATTGAATTGAGCTGGTCAAAGCTGCACTTTTGGGACCTAAACAAATACGATGAATGGGAGGAGGTTGTTGGCGTGTTTACGGGAAGCTCTCAGACTGGCCGCACAGAGGCGACAATTAGCGGATACTTCAGGCTGGTGTCTTAAAACAATTTTAACCCTAGACGTACCAGTCAGAACTTCTTTTGGATCGCTAGGGATGCGCAACCGACCGCCAGCACACATCAGTAGAAAGCGAGTCAAGCGTGCATGCGGGAGCAGTCTGTTGTCCAGTTTGTTCCAGAGTGTAAACTTTGAAGGCTACCTGATGAGCCGAGCGTCGGGATTTGAAGAAGCATTTCTAAGTGTCATGGTCGTGGTGAACGGATCTGTCAGTCTTTTAGGATGGTTTTTACGGAGATGTCATTGACAGCGTGGTATTGGGGGGGAGAAGAACGAATATGAAGATGGAAGGCGTCAGTAGTAGGGTGTTTTCACTCTCACGCCCTAATGCCTACAAGAAGAGCGGTGGCGGCTGATAACACTAAGCAGCAGCTTGTGTGTCGCGAGGTCATATGTAATTGTGCAGTTTGTTGTAGTACGTGGGCCGGGATACTGGATGGGCGCCCTGGCCTACACAAGAGGACAGTTAAGGTCCTCAACCAAAGTCTTTGGCTTAAATGCCTAACTGTCAGCAAGCCGCCACCTATGTTCCGACCCCAACTGGAGCACATGGAGACTGTTGGTCACACTCTTGCTTATTTGCTAACCTTTGATAAGGAGCTCTTTGTCTATCACAGATTCACCACAATACTCCTCAACACTTAGGTGTGAAAACCGTCATCGCGGTAAAATTCAGTCTATTTGCGGTGGTATTTCGTCCGTCTGACGTCTTAAGTGGGCTTAGATAGAGACACTAGCGCGGAATACCAGCTTAAGAACTGTTGAACCACTGTCTCCCTCCATTTGGGGGGAGAGGGGGCAGTGCATCCTGTGGGCTGAATGAAATCAAATTTTCACTAACTACAGAACGTGCGGACGCATTCTGGGTCTGGCATATTAGTACGACAGTCCAAAGCTACTCGAAGTGGACTCCTTTGGATTCAAATGCTAGGCTGCTTTCATATTTGTCTACAATACCTTCCGTTAATGCGTAGGATATTCCAGAGTGTTAAGGCTGCAACGATGCTAGAAGTCACTTTCTTTGGAAATGGGGTGAGATGGCTCAACGTTTGTAACGAATTTACTGACTAGAAGGCTGGTGATGGCAACCCAACTCCGGCATCTCCAAAATCTCTGTCTAAGCTTGGGAAACCTGGTAGTATCAGAACTCTCCTGCTTCCTTCGCGTGACATGGGAACTGGGCGCCGAAAGAATGTTACAAATAAACCATTGTAACTTTTTCTTAAGAATTGACAGCATCTTTCACTCCTCATTTCTGTTAGCTTTAACATCTACATGTCACTCAGCTACCACATTCGTTATAAGTTGCTGCATGGCACCGATACCCACCCGTTAATATGTGGTACCTATCTACAGCAGTGACTTCTTGTTTCCGGTTGTACACCTCTGGTGATCTGGAAGCTTTCTTGACTGCCTGTAACGAAGCTGGTATCTTAAGCCATTATGCGGAATGTTCTCTGCTTGGGTTGATCTTCGTTACTACCCGTATACACGCCCCGTAAACACGCTGCTAATTGCTCCTTGATCATTTTCGTGCTTACGGATTCACTGGAATCTGTCTGCATGAGCTACGGTCATCGAGCATCCGAAGACGTCTCAGTTTGGTTGATGGCAGAGACCACGTCTCAGACGCAACAAAACAGCCCTTACTGTATGCTGATGCACGTCTATTGAGATTCAGGTATACGACGCCACCTCACCAGACTTACCTCTCCTGCAGTAAAAAAACACCGAACTAAGCATTCGGCCTGTTCCCTTGAAACCCGCATGGTATTGAATGTTATCCGACCTGATACAATTTATTTTCAACGTCCTATCTATTGATTTTTCTGACTTTCAAGTGTTAACATTCGATCAGTAGCAACCGACCGCAGATAGAGTTTCTCGGCAAGGACTTCTTGAACTGTATAACGTGTATTTTGAAGGCATGTATTTTGAAGGGCACAATTTCACAACAGATATGAGAATATCAAAAGCTCAACTGAACTACGTTTGGCGCGAGACTCATTTGGGTTGCTAACCCCCAACATTCGCCATGTCCAGCACTCCAAACAGGAACCACCCTTGTTCTTGTCTTCCCAATAGTGCCTTCTGTTGTTGATTAATGTTGGTAGTGTAAATAATGCGGCCGTGAGTACACGTTGCTGCGGTCATACCAACTTTTTTGTTGGAGTAAAAATTTATGCTGAATCCCGGGGACCATGGCGAAGTACCTCTGCATTTATGTACACACTGCTTCAGCTGTGAGATATCCTTTCAACAGTGATGATCGAGCGAGGACAGCTCCCCAAGCCCCCAGCACGAAGCCACTAACTTCCGTGATAGCAGTACTACTTTTGCGCAGCATCTATTGTCAAAGATAAGAGATCGCAGTTCCTATTTTTGTGATTCGGATACTGATTGGTCTAGTGTCTTCCGCGGTTAACATTCAAATCTCCACTTAGTTGAGAATAGCTTAGCAACAAACACCAGAGGTGTTGGAGTTTAAGTCCAGGTTCCCACAAACACTGCGACCAGAATTAAACTGCTTCCCTGGGAAGTTGATTCGGAGTGTGACCCGGATCGACGGGCACGCCTTTCGTGAGAAGCTCTACTCCTGTAGCATGTGCCACAGCCCGTATGTCTTTTTGTTTGCACACTGCAGCTCCCAAAGAGGGCGAAATTTATCTGTCTTAATTTAGTTAACATTATGAGGCAGATGCTTCAAGCAGAGGGCGACCTGACCATGACATACATACCTATTCATGATCCAAACCATAGCTTATGTTGTTCAGGGCGGGTATCCGTTCAGAGATTGTCGATGTGAGCACTTTAGAACGTCCTGAAATGATATTGCAAACATAAGATCGGAAATGCACGCCCTAATGGGACCGCGCTGTTGCGCTTATGGAGACCAGTCACAGAATATCCCCTCACAATCCCAGTTCATTAATCGCTCTCGTGACACTATTTACCACCCTCTTTAATCTCATCCGTCTGACATTGGTGTCTCTCCTTATGTACGGATTCCTATTTTGGTAGTTCAATTTTTGGATTTCTCTAGGACCTTCTCTAAAGGGACGCAAGGGAGTTTTTCTGATATCAGAGGTTTGTGTGCAACGTTTTGTAGTCACGTGGAGCACAACATCATTGAGAAGGTGAGGTAACAGTATTACCACATCGAAGACGCCCCAGTATTTAATACCGATTGTGATTTTTGTCATAATCTTTGTCACGTGAACTGTTTGCGTGGGCTGAGTAAATCTGATACGGAACGGTTCCGATTGCTGCTAGACGGCCGACTATAGAAGCGCAAAGTTTTTGTACCCATGGCCTAGGATACACTTCTCGATATAATGGCTTGTTCTGAATTGCCAGCGGAGCTTGCATGTAGTTCGCCCTATCGCCACAATAGAACTTATAGATATTTTTATTGAAAGAGTCTGGAGTTAGTAAATCCTTATCATGTCGCTGGATCGAAAGCTTTGTTGTTTCTCTTCCCTCCCGATCAACAACAGGTACTATGGACCTTCTCCATCTATCTGGAATCAGTCGCGATCCTCCCACAGCTATTCATGATCAGCAGTACTGGGCAGGCCGAAACGATTACGGCACACTACCTTTTTGCCTTGGGATCGTACCGGGCCATGTATTTGCTTAATTGGATCTATCGTTACTACACAGAGGATGTGTACGATCTTATTGCAATCGTGGCGGGTTGTGTCCAGACCCTACTCTATATCGACTTCTTCTATCTCTACGTTACGAAAGGTCAGTGCCTTTGTCCGGTAGTTTGTTTTCCTGCTTCGAGGCTCCAATAATTCGAGAAGTTTCGGCACACAACTACCGTGACCGTAACATGTCAATCTAACACAGTGACTTGTGGTTTTCCAGTGCATTAATGTTTCTTTTGGTGTGTTACGTTTTCTTAGTTTCCTTTTGTTCTCGTCGTATTTAGGGAACTAATCAGAACCGATGGGAAAATCACCAACCTTTTTTCTACTCCCAACTCGCCCCCTCATGGAAAGCTACCTTGCAGGCGTATAAATTCATCTAACTGGAGTCATTCTGACAATGTGCGCCCGACGAGTGGGCCTTGCATCCCTGCGTACAGTTGACAAATCCAGTAAGAATATATAACCATAAAATAGAAAATTTCTGGTCCTCTTCGAGCTAGTGGTCATAAATAACAAATTTTCTTGAAGAGGAATTATTAGCGATTTGAGCGCTAGAGTCATGTTGGTAAAAAAAAACGACAGTGCTCCGTCATCAGAACCCCCGAATATGAAAGTGAGCGAACCGCCATTCGAACAAGTAAGCCGTAGTTTTGTGGTGGTTACTTTTTGACTCTACTCCAAGACGGTTGTGAACACAGTGGGATCAATGAATTTTCAGTAAGCAATTCACACGTTTGTAACCATTTGAACGAGTGAATTGGGTTAGCAAGAAGTAAGTAACAAAGGAATTGTGAGAATTCATAAGGAGCAGGGGGAATCGATCAGGAAGCGTCCATTTCCGGGGCATCTGGAATTGTGAATAGTTGCAGTTTGACTTGTCCTGAATGTGTTCGGGCGCTTTACTCGTGTTAGCACTATTCGGGCTTTTACTGAAGTACGTATCGAGGAGCCCAGGGAAGGGTGTAGCTAAACAGTATACCCAGATGTCTCTTTTTATACAGCCACAGAGCAAGAGTTTACGGACCGGAAGTTCCGTGATCCGAACTATACCTCTCGACTTCCCTTGTCTAGGCTTGGGCGACCTGGCAGTATCCCAGCCCTCGTGCTTCCTTCTGGTGGCATGGCAGCTATGTACCGGAAGAGCGTCATAGCTGAGCGATTTTTTTCGTTACGGATGAAAGAGTCGGGTGACCTGTCAATTCTTGCCACACGAAAAGTTTACAGTTGAGTTTTGACCGAAACACTTTGATATGAAGCGGCCTACTGTGTTTACCGGGTAAAATCTAAACGCTACTATACTTTTACCTAATAAACCCTTAACAGATGTGCCCCGCCTTTTGTTTGGCTTTTTCTCATTCTCGAATTGTCTGGGTTGTGACTGGTTGTAGTAAATGGTCTGCACCAACGCTCATTGTCACCCGCAACCGTTATGTTTACCAGTTTATCCCAACGACTCATTTGACAGGGACTTGACGAATTTTCCCCTCTTCCCATTTATTTCAGTCCTCAAGGGCAAGAGTCTTGTCCTTCCTGTTTAATGCGTGGTGGTGAGCTGTTTGAGGCTGTATCGTCCTACGCCCCCTCCTCTCCGAGTGCATTTTTTGGCCTTTTCGGTTTAACTCGTGATCAACCTTTCGCACCCTGGTTGCTTGTGTAGGTTCTTTTCGTGTCTTTTTAATCTTTCTCTGTTCTCCCGATCCGTGTCTCACTCGTGTGCAATTTGTGATCACTTTCCATCATATCCTGACTTACTCGACAGAGTTGTTCCCTTGGTAACACGAACTCCTTCTACCACACTTGTGCCTTTATTTGTTCAACTTACTCACCTGTATTTGAGCTCTGGTTTCATTCAGTAAAACTCACCTTAAAGCGTGACGTCTCTTGACTTCCTCAAACAATTCTTGTTTATGCGCCACTGCATATGCGGACCCTGTTAACGAAACTGACGTGAGCCGCACGTGGAGTTGTTCCACATCTGTCGATGTCAAATGGGCAGTTGAATTACTTCGAAACACTGGTGTTTCTTCGTATTTTCCGGTTCTCGTATCAGTTATCAGAGGTTCTGGTGTGCAGCATCATCTGTTGCGCATTCCGAACCATCGTTTACCCAAGAGAATGCTCTTTTCCCTGCCCAATTCAGAGGGGTGGACAACCATCTACCCGGCAAAGGGGTATAGAGATTACAAAACCTTTGGGTGCAAAAAGCCGGTGAAACTCGTCTTCCACGATGCGGACCGCGGGATCTTCACTCCACCTGGTTGGAGCGTGCAAGATACGGCTGCTAATCGATGTTAGTGGTGCTCATATTGTGACGTACTATCTAGTTTGCCTGAATGGGTGTCTGGAAGTGTAGGCACCTCGGAATGGTTATAGGAGGTCAGCACTAAGTCCCTTCCCCGATCACTTTTATTTTCATCATAATAAATGTTTCAAATAAATGATAGTTGTACGGCAGTGAAGCATCGATGTTGAATACTGATGTCATGCTGTCGATGATGATGATATCAGAGGTTGTGGTGACCACATTCACTCCATAAGTATATGACATTAATGTATGTACTACTGAAGTCCTTGTTTTGATGTACGACAAGTGTTTTTGGATAGTCTGCGGTCTTTATTCTCGTTTTCAAGGGAGAACATGATTACAACAGCACGGGAACGCATTGATTTACAAATACTGATTCTCTTTAGAGAGAAATTTCTCCATGTAGTTACATCATACTGAATCGATTTGTTTCCGATGACACTCACATACGTTGACCCAGCGTTGCTGCAACGGTAATCACGCGTCAGTCAGTTGGTAGTTGGTGCGTGCTCAGAAGCTAATAGAGCGATTAGTCATTTCCTTTACGTGATATCCATTCAGCATGCCGACGCTGTTGCCGGGCGGTCAGTTTTACGTATGCATGTACGCCCAAACATGCGCGGAATTAAAACGTGCCACTTGAGTAGATGAGGCTACTTAACACTGACATCGAAATCAGTATGGAGTTGATGGATCTTTCGAAAGCATTCGAACTTTTATGACTTCTCAATTTTATGCAGAGTCTGGAGGAAAATTCATCCATAAAAATCAGACAATACGTGTCGCGTCACATTTCGCGAACGAGCTTCCAATATCAGCCGTAAGCGCTTTTTTCCAACTCAGTCTAACTTGCCCTGGCGGCTACTGTCGAGAGCACCGAATAAATTTAGAATGGCCTTCTTGTCGCTACCATATCGATTTTAGTTTGCAGCGATATTGTAGTAGTGGCGAAACGACTATGAAGTGAAATGCGGCGAGCATTTTCATGTCAGTTCGAAAAATTTCCCACGTAGACAATGAACAACAATGCCTAGATGCACAGAAACTTCGATGACTTTTATTCTGACAGGTGTTAACGACTTAATATTGTCCACCATGTAGTATGGTCGTTACAAGCTTTCTAAAATAGTTGTACCGCTGGTCGTTGGGTTGTTCGCTGAGCTGGGCAATTTGGTTGCAAACGTTTCATCACCAATCGAGGTGACATCATCAGTGCGTAGTTGTGCGTAGCGGTGGGTTAGTGGTGGTAACAAGCCAACGACCATCTACGCTACCTGAGCTACCGACGTTCTCCTCTATAGAATAGTTGTGCCGCATTCAGATGACCACGCCCAGCGCATCGACCTTATGAGTGGTATTCGCATGTTAACCAACATGACTATCTGTTTAACATATGGAAGAAAGTACGTTCAAAACTGAGCTTTGACCAGAACTGCTGTTATAAGTGAGAGACGATTGGATCCTAAACGTGATTTTCGGTGTTGAGAGATAGTAACCAAGAAACACAAGAATAAACTTATCTCTTAGGGTTAATCCTACACAGGATTTCCGTTCCACAGTAACAACTGGCCTACGAGTTCAACAAAGGATGTTTCAGAATGCACCTATTGGCACGGTAAGCTAGTGTTAACTGTAGACTTATGTCAATCCCAGCTGAATCTCTTCTTCATATGAATGTGCTGCACAGAAGTAGGCGAGTACCCGAATTCATTCAACTCTCTGCACCTTGCTCTCTGCTTAAACCTTGTTACAAGCTATTCTTGTAGTGCACTCATGTAAGCTCGTTTAAAGGGAGATTTAGCCGAATCTCAGCCTCCAGGGGTGGCTGGCAGATTGTTGATCAGATGACGGTTGATCCGATCACCGGGATCGTAAACACTGGTTCAGGGTTGTCGGCGTTTTCAGCAACCTAATGGATGGTGTGTTCTTTCAAGAAGACGTTTCTCTATTTTCAGATGGTTTATACTAGACAGTAAACAGCGTACTGACCTATGAGAAGTGGAAGTGCTTTGACAACGTAAGCAGTAAAACCAGTGCGATTTCATCATATCCTGGTCTACTTGAACTGTCCGCAACCAGCTTTACACGAAAGGCGAAAAACTCAGTACACTGCATACAGGGAAAATGCCTAACAGGAATATTGTTAGTTGGCTTGATCAAATAATGTGCTTAGTAGTCAAATCTTGGACATAAATCTTGAGTTTTTCTAACAGCTTTCTCATGCAATGGTGCTAGCAGAATAAAGAGCCATCTAAAGCTTGACTATTGCCTGATTTTGTTTTTACTGAAAATGACCGCTTAGGTAGAGGATTTCGACAATAGTTTTCCTTTCTTCAGCGGTTATTGGGAGCAACTTCACATCCGATTGGCTTTTGTTCAATTGGTCCAGTAAAACACCGCTGGCGGGTGTGTTCTGACGCAAAAGGATGTAACCACAACCGGGAAACAAATTACAGACGTCAAGGTAGTTCGTATACGGAGCATGGTCACAAATTTTACCCAAAACTTGTGAGCATGATTCATTGTAAATACCAAAACAATCGATTATTTCAATTTCTGTTCGGAAACTAGGTGGAACTCAGCTTAATTTCGATCATCGTTCAGTTCTGTGCAACTTGCGATCGTATCTTCGTACACGTTACTGAGTGGGCAAACCAAATTTTCGAGTAGGGGCGTCGATGACGGAAACGTTGCCTCTGTTTTTCACTATCCAGTATAACCGATCGGTGGAGCGAGAGAAGTTGTGCAAGCCGCTTTTGGCCGTTATACATTTACTCAGTTTACTAATTTCGTTTAGGAAGGAATTGAAGTACTTGGGCTCGACCCTTTGATGTACTTGAGAGCTTACAAATTTTCTTCCCTCAGGTTTAGCTGACTGTTAGTTCTGGTTGTGAAGCGGTGAAATATATCCGGACATTTGAGCTTTCCCATGAAAGTCATAGTCCTCGGAAATCATATTCGATCAATGCTGATCATGCTATTTTTGTCTGATATGTGTTGCTAACTCTTGAATTTCAAGGCTGTGCAGAATTGCCATCCTTCTGAACGGACAATCTGTGCTAGACTAGCTCTGAAAACCACCACAACTGCATAACAGGATTGATACGTGTCCGGAGGCCAGCCGTCCCTAATAACCAAACATCACATCATTTGGACGGATGTGTCACCTGCAGGATGCGGACTGAACGAAGGCATTCCCTGATTGGTCAGAATGCCGGCCAATTGGGGTCGAGCATCTTTGACTCGACGCTTCTCGCCCCCTCACGAAGATTCTGGCACGACCTTGTGGAGCACTCTATGATTACCCTATAAATACAGTTGTATTAATTCTCCTTTTGTTTCCATAAAGGGCTGTCTAGAGCTACCGTGCCTTGTGGTATATCATAGTGAGCAGAGCAGGAAGCCAAGGCCCGATACAGAGATGTACTACTGTACAGCAAGACAACAATATGAAAAGTAGTGCATATATGTTGTCGGCTACTATTCTTTTTTTATTGCAATTGGTAACTATCTTCTAACCATATCGGAAAGGGCTTTCCAATTTTAGTCGTTGACAGTTGATTTCGCTGTCCAGTTTGAGCCTATCCTTCCAGAAACTTCCCGACTACACAAATGCAAATCGTCAGGCGATGGACGAGCAAAGATTAGCCCCGTATTAATGTACGAAGGTGCCATTTAAGCTAATTTGAATACATTTGGGCATCAGGGGCCTCATATTTTGCACAAACGTGAGACTCAAACTGTGTGGAATTTAGTAAAATGAACCAGGAAGCATATGTTAATGCCGTTACACTACTTCGGAGTGGTACTTTGCGTTCCAGCTTCCGTACAAAAAATTTATCTGGGATTCAGGTCATCACATTTATTTTAAAGTTTTGCAGAACGAGCAAAGAATTCAAATAAAGTGACGCAGCCAACTTTCTTTGTCAAGAAATTTAGAGCATCCACCTTATCACTTGAGCCTCATTTTTACACGATGAGCTGATGCATTATCGAACGCAGGGACCGCAGTCTGGTTAGGTTAAATTTGATTCGGTTATTCACTTTGTACGGCAACGGCTTCATTCGTTGATGGAAGGATGATGGGTAAACTGTTACGCTACAAAGATATGTTGGAATTCCATATAGTCCTAGCGCATGACGACTGATCGAAATTGAAGTGTGAAAGTCTACGTGCGGTTTGAATATAACGGTTGACATCTATCTAAGAACAAATAAAATTCGTCACTGTTCGCGTCAGAATGAGAACTTTGTCAGTGGAAGGCTAGATCCACTATACTATCAGATAATCGGACCAGTGTTACCGAAGACAAAATTAGAACGAAATAAGCACTGCTATATCACATTGAATTTAGGATGGATGACACACCACAAAATTCATCCACCTACGAAATGCCCACGGCCGGCCGGGCTAGTGAAATGCATCTCAGTGTCCAGGAGATTTTCATTGTTAGAGTGCTTGTCCAAAAGGTTGGGGTGGTAGTATAATTGTTTTGACCTTGGGGAGGGTTGGGACTATCCGTTCACATTTAACCACCAGATGGTTGTTTTACCTTTTGGTTGTATACCG